AACAACAAGTGTAAATATCAAAAAAATGTCTCACAGAGTGGGAAAAAAATGCAAATTATTATTGTTTTTGACATACTTCTGACAATGCATCAGCTGTATTTTGAATTTGAAGAACTTTTTTTAATGCATAGCTGTGGAAAGCAGCTTTAACACTTCAACAGCAGACATGCCTTCTAATCGAAGTGGAGTTACTTGTATCTCAGTTTGTTTCCCACATGGATGGTCATCAAAGCAGACCTCAGAATCTGACAAAACAGCTGCACAGCACATCCAAATAGCTGCAAGTCTTATTTGTGGCCATTCAGATTATCTTTCTGTATTTTTAGGAGCCAGATAAATCCTTATATAAGCTAGGTGAGTCATGGTGGGAGCAGCAGACAATACGGGAATGTGGGAGGGGTCAACTGCACTCATAACGGAGAGGCACAGATGGATTAAAAGTCTCAGTTTTGTCCAGACAAAAGATGAAAACCTCTTCAATTTTAAGAGCTTTCACCAATCAGTCACAGGCCTCATCTTAAAACAAGCCTGGAGTGTGAGGTATAGGAAAAACAGACTGGAATTTTCTTTTTTTTTGGTAGTGGGCTACAAAAGTAGACCCCATTCAGCTGCTCGCTTTTATTAGTCATTACTACGAGTGCTGCTCACAATCACTGGAGAAAACAGGGGTCTGGCACTGACAGTTGGAGGTGAGGCCCTGATGGGTCAGTACACACTTGCATAGTGGCCTCTGGTATGCAGTGAGGGCAAGTGTAAACTGTCTCTAAGCAGGGCTGATAGTAGTTATTAATATCCTCCTCTCTGGTCACTCTTTGATTTTCAATGTGGAGAACATTGCAGCTGGCTGGATAGATTAAAGCAGAAAAGGTGTCTACCTAAAAGAAAATAAAACCTTTACTTCTTTGTTTTCTCAGGTGAGCATCTCTTGGTCAAAATGACCGAGCGCTATGACTGCCACTACTGCAAGGAGTCCCTGTTTGGGAAGAAGTATGTCCTTCGAGAGGAGAATCCCTACTGTGTGAAATGTTATGAGAGCCTGTACTCCAACACCTGTGAGGAGTGCAAAAAGCCTATTGGCTGTAACACCAGGGTAAGAGATGAAAAAAAAAAAAAAACACCCCATGAAGATACAAAGTGTTTGACTGTGTCAGCCTGATCCAACTGTCTGATGTTCCTGCAGGATCTGTCCTACAAGGACCGTCACTGGCATGAGGACTGCTTCAAGTGCTTCCAGTGCAAGCGCTCCCTGGTGGACAAACCCTTCTCCACCAAGGATGAGCAGCTTCTTTGCACTGAGTGCTACTCCAATGAGTATTCCTCCAAGTGCCATGATTGCAAGAAAACCATCATGCCAGGTAAGAAGTGTACAAAGATTTTAGATTTTCATGCAACAACTGTTGTCTTTAAGAAGCGTTTTGAGGATAGAGGTGCTGGATTCTAGAATAACTGGAGCCCTAGCTGATTCCTTCCTTGCAATAATCAGCAAGTTTGATTATTGCTTGGACTTTTCACAACATGTGGGGCTCCAGTTAATCATTAGAACGACACCCATAAAAGCAACTCATGGGGACCGTTTTTCAGGACTAACCCCCCTGTTTTATTGAAAAAACCGCCTCTGGCTCTGAAAATCCCATTCATGAAAATAAGTTTCCACGAATGCAAACACTGCTGGCATCAGGTGAATTAACACTGCGACTGCTATTAAACCAAGGTCCTTATTTACAACAACACTAAAAAAAAATGCTCATCACATTTCCTAAGTACTTGTCGGCTGGTTTGTTATGTGGAAAATACAAATATAGAAGAAAATAACAAAAGCTTTTCTAACTTCCTGCTGTGTGTAGCTCTGCTGCTATTAGATGACATGAAGATGTGTGAATATTTTCAGTGTCATGTTACTTTTGTGGTTGGTGCTCAGTTAATATCTTAGGTTTACATACCTTGCTGGAAACATTTTTCTTTTCTCACTGATAACATTGTTTAAAAAGAAAAAAACAATTAAACAAACAAAAAAACATGCTTTTCAAAATTTCTGATGAAAACTAATCCAAACAGAATATTTTGTGAGAAGGGCAGCTTCCAAGAAGCACCAGCTGTAAGATGAATACATTTCTTTTGCATTTGTCACAAGAATGTACAGCTATTCTATAAGACAATCTTACATAACATTAAAAATATTCCTTAGAAAAACCAGAGGCTACAAAATAATAGAGAATTGAAAAAAAATGATAGGATAAGCAAAGAAATAGGAAGGGGCATAAGTCTATAGGATAAACTCCAACCATGGTTACATGGTTTATTTACATGACATTAAACGTCATAAGCTGAGGTTTGTTAATTTGCCTACTTGCAGTGAATTGTGTGGACTGGGATTCCCATAATTATATCACCAGTGTCTCTTTTGTCCTTTTTAACTTCCTGTACTCTTCCATTTTATCCTCCTGAAGGCTCCAGGAAGATGGAGCACAAGGGCAACAGCTGGCATGAGACCTGCTTTACCTGCAAGAGATGCCAGCAGCCGATAGGCACCAAGAGCTTCATCCCGAAAGAAAGCCAGAACTTCTGTGTGCCCTGCTATGAGAAGCAGTTTGCCATGCAGTGTGTGCACTGCAAGAAGGTATGACTTCAGGCTCTACAAGCTAATTCTATTTATTAATAAGGGAGGATTAATAAAACAATGCTTCTTTTTAAAAGCCAATCACCACTGGTGGGGTGACCTACCGTGACCAACCTTGGCACAAGGACTGCTTCCTGTGCACCAGCTGCAAGCAGCAGCTTTCTGGCCAGAGGTTCACCTCGAGAGATGACTTTGCTTACTGTCTGAACTGCTTCTGCAACCTTTATGCCAAGAAGTGTGCCTCCTGCACCACCCCGATTAGTGGTAACCAACAAGCTTAAACTCTGAACTGAAGCTAAAGCTGGTTTCTCAGGTGTGCTGATGTAGACTTGGATGTTTTTTCCTCAGGTCTGGGTGGCAGCAAATACATCTCTTTCGAGGAGCGCCAGTGGCACAACGACTGCTTCAACTGCAAGAAGTGCTCCGTGTCCCTGGTGGGCCGTGGTTTCCTGACCGAACGGGATGATATTCTCTGCCCAGAATGTGGCAAGGATATCTAACCCCACCTGAGAGCAAACAATGCAGCTAAAAGCTATTGAATGGCAAAGTCTCACTACATATTAGAATAGAATGCAAGTAGAACTAGGATTGTATGTTTTCAGCTCTGAATTGCAAAGTAATGGTTTTCCTTAATTTTGCGAAGCGTATTCAAAGTGACATATAAGCTCCGTCAGAAAGTAAAATGATGTACTAATAAAGTAACTTTAAGGCATGAATCAAAAATGCATGTCAGCTATTTTGTGAGCAGCCAGACCTAACGTGCGTAAATCAAAGTTTTGTCATTAACAATTTGGAAAAATAAGAAAACGCTGTCTCATAATGCAGCTTCCGAACTCCACTTCTCCTCTTTTGGTTTCTCAGCAGAATTTAAGACAAGTGAATGTTTAATTACAAAACAACAATAAATCAAAGAAATAAAATAAAAAAGGAAATGTGCAGTTCTTTTTAAGAGGGATCTCCCCTTGATCTTAATATGTCTACCCTTCAACAACAAATGTTAATGTATCAAGATTTTATGTGGAAACTGCTATAAAAGAATACCCCAACCTCTTAACAGAGCCATGTTTAATCCACTTTAAAATGGAAAGATTGGCACACCTGAAAACCTGCAAAAATATAGCTAGCCACCAGCTTATATGAAGTCATATTTGAAAGAAAGTTCACACTGCCCAGCATCCCCTTGCTACAGCAGCAAGATCTATGACAGAGGGGTTTAAATGGGAACATGTCCATGTGTTAAAATGAGCCAGAGACCAAATCAGAAAACAACTTAGTGAATATAAGTTTATCGATAGGCTCCATACGAATCGACAAAACACACTGCAAAAGACAAGAAATCAAAGACTTTCTACAGCACTTTGGTAAGCTCGTTTTTAAATGAGCCTTCTACTGTATTTAATCTGGGCTTAGATGACAGAAGCAGACATTAGTCTGTATTGTACTACAACCCTGTTGACAAAATCGAACTTGTCTACATTTAATTAACTGTTTGCTCAAAACCAAAAAGCACTAATAATTAGGGCTGGGTATTTTCACCCTGAATTCGAATTCGATTTTGATTAGTACAGTTCTAAATCATTTAATTTCGATTCGATCAGTTTTTACAACAATGAAAGTGGTTCAACTGTGTTTCAAAATACTCATTTATTTTTTCCTGTCATATTAAAAACAAAAAGCAAACTTGTAAATCAGACAGTTTAAACTTGAGATGTGAACAAAACTGTCTCAAAACGTGCCAACTTGTTTGTGAAAAGTGAAGCCTCACTTGAGCAAGCAGACGTGACACAGGGGGGACACAGCAGACATGCATGAACTGCATTATCTTCACTGTACAAACTATATTTGCAGCGTTGTCTGTAACAATTACAGGGTGTTTGCTGGTCAGCCCCCATTTGTTAATGTCTTCTGTCAACCTATTGGGTTATATTTGCAGCTGTCTGGCTTGAAGTAATCCTGAGTGCATCTTTCCTGCTCATTTGAATGTGAACGTCACGCGCGTCACTATAAAACGAATCAATTTCTTTCCTAGACATCGATTTTGCAAAAATGTAAAGGAATCGATTTTTTTACCCAGCCCTACTAATAATATGCTTTTGGTTGTGAGATGGACAGAAAAAAAAAAAAAAATGTTTAATAGTGCCTGAATTGTTTTAATAAATTAAATAATCATTGAATGACTTTCTTAGGGCAAATTAGAGTGAATATGCCAACAGCATTCATATTAATTAGCACCAGTAATATTATAGCTTTAATAATTTGTAACCAGAATCTCACTTTTATTTGATCTCCAAAGGCGCATCAAGGCATATGAAATTAAACCCACAAACTGTCCTCAACAAGTAAAGCAACAAAGTTGTTTCTGTTGGTTGGATTTTATTTAAAAAAAAAAAACTGTTTTTACAAATATTAAAGACACTTTTTGTCAACATCAAAGAAATCGGCTTCAAAGTGAAAATATTCCTGACCAATAAATACAACATGAAAGAGATCTATCCCAGGTTAGGTTCATGTTCAATATACAAAATTAGTCATATTTTTCACACATTTTTCATCAAAATTTATTAAACACAATCTACCTGAAATCAGCTTAACTTACAATAAAGAAATCAATGAAGAATTTTAGAAGTAATCCTAAATGAATTGTTCTCAGTGGAATTAGAGCAATAACTGACAGGTATCAACTGCACAACTCCTACAATGTAGAGATCAGATGAATCCTTCTCATCCGTCCCTGATGATCCCTTACATAGTGTTCAATTCCTCTGTATTTCTTTTTATGTTTAATAAACCACACTTGCATGTTCATCAAACACATGAAACCATCAACAGGACGTCCTCCTGATATAAAAAACACACGATGGGAGATGCTGGCTATAAGGACCTAAAGGGCACTTGAGGTTGCAGGTTGCAAGAAGGAAGCTCCTGAATTCAACAAGCAGGGTTGATCTCCTGAGCGTCGCACTGCTTTGTTGACTGTCCACCATTTATAAGAACATTAAAGGGGTCCTGATGTACATCTGAAACAGGCTCTTTACCTTTTTTTAGTCTGAAAACAGTAATTAATGAGAGGTGGTTTGGGGTTTGAGATGGAAAATAGATGATAGGAAGATATCTATATATAAGTCTAGATTGCCATCCTAGGTCAGAGATCAGGGCCATGTTACATGTTGGATCTTTTTCTTCACTTCTGGAGATTTTAGTGTAGCCTAAAAAGAAAAAAAACACATTCCTTGTTATTTTCCTTGTTATAAAAACACTGTTAGCTATCATTCTATATCATGTATTTATTGTTAAGACCCTACCGAGGATTCTGCATCCCGTTTGATGTTTGAAGCATCAGAGCTGCGATGTGTGGATGAAGAAGACAATGGCGACGAAGTGCCTGAGAGTTTACGGATGGGGTTGGACAGATTTGCAGCTGGAGGAGGTTTTAATCTGTCTGTGACTCCGGGTGGCCCTGGTGAACAGTCTGGTTTCTTCAGTTTCAGTGGACCCGACTGAGACGACTTGCCGTCAAACACAATCAGAGGCCTTTTTCTATGCTGGTCATTGCTGGAGCTGGATAAAGGGAATTAAACAACAGATTCTTAGTATCAAAATAATGCAGCTACTTCTAAGATAAGAGTCTTTACAAAGGGATTAATAAATAACATCTGTGGATATCTGGTGTTTTCATTAGTGCACTCTTTTTTAATGCTTTTTTTTCTTATTGATGAGAGATTTTCTGAATTGTTTTACATTAACCGTGCATTATTTGTTGTCCTTTCATTGACCTCACACATACAGTTTCAATATATTTTTCTGAATGACAAATAGGGCATGATCTACCTCTGTGCTGGACATCTATCACAGTTAATCTGATCTGACAAAAGCTTGTCAGAAACTGATGTCATTCTTTTCAAATTGCCTGTTTGTGACATGCATCTCATGACCTTTCAAAGTTTACAAATGACTACTGGAGTATAAGCAATGGATGGAGAGAATTTCCTGGTTTACTTCAGGTCTAAAACCATGTCCAGAAGAAACCCCTTTGGCATGACCTGCATGCATTCTATTGAGAATCCATACAGGAATCGTTTGTACAAGCAAAGTAATCATCATTAGTATGAATGATTTAGGAGAAAATTTCGTATTTTCCTCCTGCTTCTAATTTTCTCTCATGTACAAACAAGTTTTAGGACTCCTCCATACTTGATGAAGGAGTGTTGCGCAATAAGTCAGCTGCTATTCAGACCTAGTTTTTCACTAAATAACTACATTTGTTGTTACTGAGAAGCAATTGTCCATTTTATTATCCTACATTATTAGATTTATATATTATGTAACTCTGCAATCATAAATTACATTCATATTTGCTAATGATCAGTCAGGACATCTACAGCTGCATGTCGGTATCCAGGGGACACTGATTTAATTTGTTATTTTATCAAAAGAAAGAACAGTCAGGGATTAAGCTACTATTTAAACACCTGGAACATAAAAAACGAATGGAAGTGCAGAAAGAGGTTTAGTGACATGTTGAAACTCTTAAAGGTCAGACTTGCATTCAGTGTTATTACACTAAATGGGGATGTTTTTGTCTGAGTTTGTCGGAATTTGTCAAATATGTTCATTTTTTTATGTTAATCCTGTATGAGAGAGATGGAGAGTGTGATGAAGATGGACATGGTTAGGAGATGAGCAGTATACGTCTGTTTATGAAAAGGAGATGTGGCAGCATGTTGTCAAGTTGGTTGATGGAAACTCACATTAGGGGAGGGGTGGCCTAGTGGTTAGGGCATTACGGTTGGATCCCAGAGGTTCTGAGTTCAAGCCCCAGTCCCATGGACTGCCACTCTGGGTCCCTAAGCAAGACCGTTAAACCCCACGCTACTCCCCGGGTGCCGCACAATGGCAGCTCACTGCTCTCCAAGGGGATGGGTTAAATGCAGAGCATGAATCTCGTTGCTTTGTACTATGGCAATGTAATGGCAAAAAAGTTTAAATCTATTCTATTCTATTAAGCATTTACATGATTATGTTGCACCTCTTGTCTCCACCAGTAGTTTTCATCTGTCTTTGCATTTTTTTTAATCTGTAAGAGTACAACCAAGTAATTTACAGCTATGATTTATTCCTCACTGCTTGGCCTTTATTGCTCTTTAAATTCTGCTGCTCAGCTGTCAGTCAGCAAAACCTTGATGTCCAAACAAATAAAGTTTTTTGTCTTAGTGTTCGATGCCTTTTTTTATGAATACACCGTCTGACAAGGATGGGAAGTCGTAGCTTCATATGGCATTAACTGGGCTGTAATTATGCAAAAATGACATTTCTCAGATCGCATGCTAACTTACGCATAGGTGGACCGCATCAGGTTTACGAGGATCATTGACTGAACTTAAGAATGTAGGTAGGAGAAAAAGTAGAGGAATTTATGACAAGAAAATGAACATGTTATTGCATCAGGCCCAGTATTAAGAGCTTATTAATGTCAAACTTCAAGGATCAATTCAAGTTCAGTTATTCAAATTAACTCTCAACATTTCTACTTGTTAATGTTGCCTTGTTAATTAGTTGCTAGTAGGTACAATGTTAAAAACCTCAACTATATCATTGTATTTGACTATAATGATTACTCTGATGCTTAACGGAGAAAAGCAACCAATAGAAACTGTTAAAATCAAAAACCTCTAAAAACAAAAAACTTCTGAGCACACATATTCCTGCAAGTAGTACAGTTTGAGAAGACCATAGAAAACAACTTAAAATCATCAGCTATCAAACCAAGTATGAAACATGCATACATACAACATCTATAATATGGTATAAGGACTTCATTGTGTGCTTAAAACTGTTCAGAGCCAAAAGAACACCATTGTTAAAAAAAAAAAGTAAAAAAGTATTTTTTAATATAACTAACTGCAGTGTGTTTGTCAGCCAATCACAGACTCGATTCAGTGGCGCATCAGATGTTTGTAGTGGCGCATCAGATGAGCTTCTTAAGGCTGGTTTATACTCAGAAACCAGGTCGTCTGTGTGCGTGTTGCAGTGAATGCAAATCTTCCCCTTCCACAGACACTCAACTGCACCTTTCTAGAAGTGTAGGTGACTGCAGACTGTGCCACAGACAGGAGGCCTCTGATTGGTCAATTCTACATCCACTCTACACATGCGTATTTCCTGATTGGTACCTTACCAGCTTGTTTCGTTTGTATGACCGTCATTGTGGAAAACGGCTGGTGAAGATGGACCAGCTAGAAGAACGAGGTGCGCAAGAACGCTGGGACCCTTTTCCCACCTAGACCCTTGCACTTTTTTGCTTCCATGTCCCTCCGTTGTCGCACAGACTTGCCCCTTGTGTTTTTCCACTTTCTTGCCCTAGACCCACAGCTGGTTCATGATTGTCCTCTTGTGTTGTGGCATGGATTAACATAGCGCAGACCACACTTCAAAACTGGGCATAAATCAAAAATATCTGCGACAAGCTCACTGCGACACACTGCTGCAGGAGGATAACCAGCCCTTTACGAGTGACAGCGGTGACAGCCAAGCACACCAGAAAAGATGTTGGGCCAATCAGGGGCTGGTGGGCAGTCTGAACTCAGGAAAGCAGGCTTCAGTTTGAGCCCGGGTTTTCCGCTTGGTCCTAGTGCTCAATGACATGTAGAGTAAAATGGTTTTTGGTCAGTAAAACCTACAGGGGACCAAAACAGACTTTCGAAAAAGTGCAGGGACATGTCCCCCCAAAAAATTACGTCCCTGTGAAGTTAAGCTAGACACGTTTACCTAAATGGTGTGTAAAATATTTTTTAATAATTTCGGGGCAGCAAATTCTTTATGATACCGATACATTTTTATGTTACCTGGATGGCTTTATCTGAAATGACTGTGTCTTTCTAAAACAGCAATAATATTATAATACTAAACAGAAAAGAGCTTTAGAAAAAGAGCTTTGGAAAAAGGAGCTTTAGCATAAACACGCTAAAGGTCACCAAGCTGGTCGCAGGAAATAATATCCTAGGGTTAAAACCAATCAGCCCCAGTGTCCCACCTTTGTCCGGCGGCAGCCTGTCTTCCCCGGCTCCTCTCCATCTTCCGACCCCAGCGGCTGTTGGGCAGAGTCCGCTGTGGCAGTGGGATGACATGCCGCAGGTAGAGCTCTGTTAGCCGGTCCCTGTCTTCACAGCCTCTGGCACCGACATTTCTCTGTTTCAAAACAGAGAAAACACTCTGGTAGCTAATCTCAACTTAAAACCGACACCGACCGCACAGAGAGAACGAGCTCAATTAAAGCAGACACAGTGTTTAGCCGAGGTGCTAAACTATCAAAATCTTTTATCTTTTCACAGTAAAAGGTTATTTTCTGAAACTCAATTAACTCACCTCCCTCAAAATGAGCTGCAAAAAATCGTTGGAGAGAAGCTCTGGGTGCAGCAAAAGCTCAGTATCTGAGGTTGAAACTCCCTGTTTGTTTTGCCCTCTGGCAGCAGCCATTGTTTTTTCTTCTTCTTCTTGTTGGATTTATTGGCGGTTGGCAACAAACATTTAGTAGCATTACCGCCGCCTACTGGTATGGAGTGTGGTTCGTGATGGACTATCTACTTAATAGACATGTATATAATTTCTAAGGAAAAAAAAAGAAAAGAAACTACATACTTATACTTAACTTGGTATTCTACACGTCATACAAACATTCGCCGTTGTTTCTTCTTCTTCTTCTTCTTCTTTTTTTTTTTTTAATGGCGGTTGGCAAACAACTTATAGGTGCATTACCGCCACCTTCCAGAATGGAGTATGGACCAGACAAACTATTATATTCTCCCTAAAATAGCCGTTCTTCTTAGAAAATTAAAAATACTCCCAAAAACTACATCCCCAGATGACCTTTGAAACAATTCCCTTATATCTAGTTTACTTTTATTCCTGTCTAACTCTCTACACAACATCTCTCTTTCCTGAGTATATTTATTGCATTCTAAAAAAAATATGTTGGATAATTTCTAATTTCCCACAAATACAACACCCTGTATTATGCTTATTCATTATTTTAAGAGACTTTCCAACTGCAATTATTAGTAATAGATTGAGAAACTAAAGTCAGATCAATAGCCGATTCCTTACCTCTTACCAAGTCTACCCGAGTACCTACCCCGTTATTTAAAACTACCAATTCTTTTTCTTCAATGTTCTCTTCTAAAATTCCTCCATTATAATCATCTTGATCTCCCCATAAAGTGCTATGTGCATTGAAGTCCCCACACCAAACTATTTTCCCTCACCAGTGTTCTAATATTGTTTCAAATTTTATCTTTTCTATTTTAAAGATTCTATTAAGGATTGTAATAATTTACAATTTTAAGATTCCCTTCATTTGTCCAAATTTCTACTGCAATAAATTCTAAATCTGATATTATTTAGAGCTGAATGAATTTAACTTTTCCTTTTATAAATATGGCACATCCTCCTCCATTCCCACTTGTTCTATCTTTACGTAATATTGAGTAACCATGAATACTAAACTGCAATGATGGCTTGAGCCATGTTTCCTGAATGCATATTATATCTGTTTTTTTATTTAAATTTTTAATGAAGCCTTTAAATTCCTGACCATTTGCTAATAAACTGCGAGTGTCCCATTGTAATATTAGAGTTATGTAATGATTTGAGAGGCCTCATTTTCCAGAGATCCTTCCCCATGCCTGAGCTCATCATGAATTTTTTCCCCAAGACAAGTTTTTGATACTAAAAAACTTTGTAGCTGCCTTAACTATAATTTTTATTTTTTCAGTTTTAGTTTTTGCTTGCTCTGAACGGTTTATGATGTATGCAAGAAAAGGAATCAACTTTTCTAATGTAACATTACACTGATTATTGTCTGTCATCCTTTTCCTTTCATAATTTATTTTCTGATCATTATCATTCTTTTTAACTTCTTTCACTGCTTCAGCGTAAGTAATTCTCTTATCAGTTTTAACTTTCTGGATTTCAGCTGCTTCTTTCCTTACCATGCACCCTGCATACGCTGCACTATGATTTCCACCACAGTTACAGCATTTAACAGGATGATCTCCACACTCACCATAAGGATGTTTACCTCCACACCTACCACACCTCTGTTTCCCTTTGCAAACATTTGCAGTATGTCCATATCTTTGACATTTGTAACATCTTAGAGGAGGTGGTATATAAGCTCTTACATTGAAACTCATGTAGCCAATCATCACTTTATCAGGCAGAACTCTACCTTTGAAATCCAGAAGAACAGATGCACTGTCCATTTTCTCCCCATTCCTAAAAGCCTGTAAACGTTTGATGCCCATAATCTCTCCTCCTCTTATTGTTTTCTTTAGCTCCTCCAAGTTTTCTCCTACCGGAATCCCTGATATTACTCCTTTCACTCCTCTTTCCTCCCCAACTACCTTTCTTTCTATCACTTCCCTTTTACACACCATTTGTAATTTTAGGGCCTTGTTCTTTTGTTCTGCAGTTTTACAAATGATAAGTAAGCTTCCATCCCTCAGGATTTTAGCTAACTCCACGTCTCCAACAAATTTCTTTAGTCCATTCGACAAGGTGATAGGACTTACTCCACTCATATCCTGTCCAGCCTTAAATTTCAATATGACTTTACAGTCTTCCATCATGATTTTCTTTCTTGTCTCAATTCGTTCTTCCTCATCCTCAAGAGATCTTTTTCCAACATTTAATCCCTTTTTAATTTTATCTCTTCCCTCTCTTCTATTTCCTACCCTAGACCATTCTGTATCCATATTTTCATCTTCCGAACACCCCCCACTACAACCAGCCATTGTCTTGATCCACTCACAAACCAGATTATGCCAAAACCACCTTTAAATTCAACATATTACTCGCCAAACAATCTCTAGACCGCTGACTCTCCTCACATGCCAGGCGTGTCTCGCCGTTGTTTCTTCCTCTCTTTTTCTTCTTTTCTATTATGGCGGATCGCAAGCAACTGCATACCGCCACCTACTGTACACGAGTGTGTATCAACATTACTTTACATCAAATTCTATTTTTTTATTTTGTAATCTGTAGATGAATAAATAATGCTTTCCTTAATCTGTAAATATTCTTTATATTTCCTCAATTTCACAATATTTCATTAAGACTTGACTCTGCCTGTCCTTCCAACCTTCCTTCTCAATTTCTCCGTTTATTGTTCATGTTTTACAGTTCATCAGTACATGATCTACATTTTCTTTTCTCCACATCCTTCACATTATTTTCCCTCTCTTTTTAATATAAAATCTAATTTAAATAGGTAATCTGAGATTATTTGGCAGGAGCCATTGTTTCTTCTTCACTTTTTAATGCACCTAGGTAAATTGTGCATTACCGCCTCCAACTGGTAAGGATTTAAATTTTTTATGAAAAAGAAATTAATAATAATAAAAAAAACAAAAAGAATCAACAACTCCCAAATAGGGCAGTACTCAGAACAAGCTCCAACATTAATTGATAGCATTCTTGTTCCCTAAAGCTTCTGCTAATTTTTTTTCCTAGACTAGAGTGTATATTTCTTTCACCTATTTTCTTTTCTAATGCATAGCTCTTTATTCACTGGTTTAGCAAGACAAGCTGAAATGTTGGATCATTCTCTATAGAAACGATTTTTTTTTCATATATTTTAATCCTTATTTTACTATATGTGGTGCAGTCTAAATGTTCCCTGTTACGGTATCAAAGTTGCAGATTGAGGCTCCAAACCCTACCTCACTTTAACCACTTTGACTAACATTTCGCGGCGGATTGCTCCTTTAAATGAGAGACCACCTGCTCCTCTGCCGTGAGCAGCGCCCACGATGGTTGCGCGATCGATCCACGGCAATGAAATGTTGCGCTGTGACCGCTTATAATAACACTGACATGCGCCTCAGCTCCATTTGCCTTCAAATCTCTGCTTTTTGGAGCCATAGTCAGGTAAGCCACTCTGGGTATTATCTTAAAAGATGTTTGTTTCATTTAGGAAAGAGGGCGTTTTTATTCTCCAGGATTCCTTTTTTTATTCTTCGTATAGAAAAACAAAGTAAATCACCGCACTGTTGGCCTGAGAACACGGTGTACAGTAAAGGCTGAGTGGTGAAAATATGTAGAAACTTTTAGGTGTGATATATTGAAATCTGCATGAAAACGATGCAATTCTCGGATCTAACGCAGCAGATCACACCAGAAATCCAACAATTTGAGATGTTGGTGTTAACTGTGCTTCTGTCTGTGCAGACAGGCTGATCATGGGTGCCTGAGCTGTGCAGGATTGCTTATGGACAGTTGTGCACGAAAGTCAGGGCTGCTTGTTGCCATGGAACTGCTGACCTTGTTTCCATGGCAACAGCCAGCATCCCTATGCAGTGACTCGAGGGAAGGATTCCTGACCTGAAGAGAGAATTTCCTCTTTTTTTGCTGTATTTTTAATGCAGTTTTGGTTCTTTATGTGTTCAACATGCCATCATTACTCAATTTCCATCCGACTGACGCATATTTGTCAGGTTGTCTTGAGGTTTTTAGAGGATCCAAATGCAGAGATGGAAGCTGAGGCGGTTTCTTGTAGATTTGATACAGAGTGGTGGCAACAGAAGCATAAATCCAGAAATAACTAATGAAGGAGCCAAAACAAAGGGGACCACATAGGATGAAGAGAATCTAGCAACCAGTAGCCGCAGAGCAATGAATGGACTAATTAAATGATAGAATAAAGCAGAATGATAAAAATGGGTCAATAAATCCTCAAGCAGCCTAAGCCTATGGCAACATCAGTATAGATATAGCGTAGGATATCTTATAGCTGGTCAAAGAATAAGCTTTATTAGATAAGAAAGGTTTAAGCCTAGCCTTAAAATTAGACAGGGTGTCTGCCTCACAGGCTAAAACTGGTGGTTGGTTCCACAGGAGAGGATCCTGATAACTAAAGATCTGCATCCCATTCTACTTTTAGAAATTCTAGGAACCACTAGTAAACCTGCAGATTGAGAGCGAAGTGCTCTGTTAGGAACATGATGAACAATCATATCCCTTATATAATATGGAGCTATGCCATTTAAGGCTTTATATGTGAGAAGGAGAATTAAATTCTATTCTGGATTTAACAGGAAGCCAATGAAGAGAAGCCAGGATAGGAGATATATGATCTCTCTTTTTAATTTTCATCAGAACTCTGGCTGCAGCATTTTGGATCAGCTAAAGGCTTTTAGTAATAAAGAATAGTAAAGAATTACAATAGTCCAGCCTTGAGGTAACAAATGTATGGACTAGTTTCTCAGCCTCACCCCTGGACAGGATATTTCTTTTTTTTTTTTTTTTTTTCAATATTCCACTGATGAAAGAATTACATTCTAGAAACATCTTTGATATGGGATTTAAATGACAGGTCCTGATCAAAAATAACACCAAGATTTTTTTATTATATGGGATCAATTTAATCCCATCCAAATGAAGTGACTAATCAGCTTCTTTTTCAAAGACTCCGGTCAAAAGACTCTAATTTCTATTTTGTCTATTCAGGAACAGAAAATTAAAAGTCATCAGTATAAAAGTAGCTTGGAAATGTAGGTCTTTATACATGAGAAGAAGGATTTTAAATTATATTCATTTCAATTATATTTAATCCAATTAATGAAAGGTGAAATAGGA